AGAAGAAGAAGAAATTTACATAAGAAACAATGAACATGAAAGAAATTGTTTAAATTCTTAAAAAAATACTTCATAATTGTTCATTGTGTTCTACTTACTTATATTCAATATTAAACAAAGCATTATTTTTCTGTAAACATAAAGAGATTCATTTCTTTAATTGGAAAATTCAAAATTTAATGAATAAAACCACTTATAAATTCACTAAGACTGAATGTTAATTACTTACAATATATATGTATAAATTAATTCTTTGGTGATATAGACTCCCACATGGGTTTCCAACACCATTTACGAGATTTACGAATACTGTCCATATTTTCTTGCGCTGTTTCACGCGCTAATCGTTGCATTGGATTTTTATGATCAGAACTATATCCTGAATTTGATAATACTGCTTCGTGTTGAAAAGCAGAAGTTACATCTGGATAAGAGTGTTTTATATATTTTGCTATTCTATGTAAGAAATTCTATATAGAAGAAAATTTTGAAAAAGAAAAAAGACAATTACTTGCTTTGGCGAATAACTTCTTTAGGACGTACTGATCATCTTCAATTAATTCAGGTTCTGTTGAGGAACGTTCAAGACGTCGTCCAATTAAATGTGAGACACGTTGGCCTTCAAAAATAGCCGAGGTAATATGTTCTTCTGATCGTAAACTTTTTTTTTTTCTTCTTCTGGAATGTGTTTTATTTATTTTTGACGACGTATCTTCATTCGTATTGTACGAAACTGTTTCGTTACTTTTACTTAAAGCTTCAGATATATTAGAATCACTAGGTAAATGTTGTATGATAGCTTCATTTGAAGTTTCATCTATTTTAGTATTAGAACTTAATTTATTTGTTAATATGTAATCTTTACTTTCAGAAGAAAGTGTATCTTCATTTCTTTTATGAAAATTACTGTCATTTTTAATAATTTCTTCAGTTATATTATCTGTATATATTTGATTATTGTCTTTTAAAATATCTTGGTCGATATTGTTATTATGGCAATTTGAAAAACAATGACTTTCTGAAGCATTCACTATTTGTACTATAGGTGTAGAGTTTGAGCTGTTCTGACTTATATTTTTACTAAGCGTAGCTGCTAGTTTCCGCATTTTTTCAATTTTATTAGTTGAAAATGTGACAGACGATGCGACTAATTTAGATTCTTGGAATAGTTGATCGATTTCATTAGAATTATCAATGGATTCATTAAAATTAAAAAGTTCAACTAAATCAGAAGTTCTAAATAATCTACGTTGACGTGGATCTTCTAAAACTTTATTTGCAAGAAGTATTTTAAAGATTTGTCTGTGATATATCTGAAACGAAACAAAATATGATTTCATTGTAAATATTATAAAATATTCAGAGAAAAAAAAAAATAAAAATTTCACCTTTTCTTCAATAGTACCAGCAGTGATAAGTCTATAAATAGTGACTTTTTTATTTTGTCCAATTCTCCATGCACGAGCTCTTGCTTGAGCATCAATTGCCGGATTCCAATCCGGATCATAGATAACTACTCGATTTGCTCCAGTCAAATTAACTCCCAAACCTCCAACACGCGTAGTTAATAAAAAAACAAAATATGATGGATCCTGTACGAAATATAAAAAAATTTAAAATATTAATAAAACATACTTTTTATACATATATACAAATACCTTATTAAACAAGCGAATTGTTTCTTGTCGTTGTGACATAGAAGTAATTCCATCCATTCTTAAATAAGAGTATTCTTCGCTTTGTACTAAAGATTCTAAAACATGCATCATCTGTAAGTTAAACTTTGTTATGTATTTTTACATATTTATATGTAACATTTTTATAAACAATTATATAACTTGTCAATTATTTACTTGTCTTCCTTGAGTAAAAAGTAGTACTCTGTGTCCTTGTTTCTTCCAAATTTTGAGAAGAGATCGAACCACGATCATTTTGCCGGAGCGTTTCCAATATCCAAATTTCTCCAGTGTTTCATTTGATATATCAATGTCTTCGTCTGAATCCTAAATTCACATTTAATTAAATCCAATGAATGAGCAATGATGTTGATGCTGTAGAATATAAAATTATGAACTTACAACTGGACTCGTATAAAGAAACAAATCAGGATGGTTACATATTTTCCTGAGAGCTGATAATGCTATAAGAAGCCGAGCTCTGTATCTTCCACTTTCTGAATGATTTTTTTCATGCAAAATGAAACTAACATCTGCAGAGCGTAAATATTCTTTGTATAATTTTTTTTGTTCTTCCGTTAAACTGCAAAATAATATCTAAGAAAAATATGAATTAAAATACGAAATAACGAATTATTATTATGAAATACTGCAATATGATACAAACCTGTTCATTCTTTTCTGGTAGACTAAGATGATGTTGTACATCATTTTTTGTTCTTCGGAGCATATACGGCGTAATAGCATCTCTGAGCATTGTAGCAACTTGAAGCGCGATGGCTTCTTGTAGAGGGGAAGCATTCGTATATCCTCCGCGAGTTATAGGAGTTGCGCAATGCTCTAAAAATGCAGGTAAAGTGCCTAACTTCCCAGGTAAAATAAAGTCAAAGAGGGACCATAGTTCTTTTAAAGAGTTTTGCATGGGACTACCAGTTAACAAAAGTCGGTGTGGTGTAGAGAATTGTTTTACTGCTTTGCTAATCTACAACGATAATATTATAATTACTCTCATATATAATTATGAAAATGCCAAAGTAAAAGTAACGAACTACCTTTGCCTGTGGATTCCTTATTTTGTGACCTTCATCGAGTATGACATAATGCCACTGACTGGCTACAAGTAAGTCTTTATGTATGAGCATACCAGAATAAGAAGTAATTAATACACCACCAGATTTTAGAGAGTGCATCAAATACTCTAAATTACCTGTGGATATTTATTAAAAACATGAAAAGTAAGTTAATTAATGTAATAGTAATAGTATGTTAATTACTAATAGTAATTAATTAACATACTATAACGGGTAATTTTATCTTTAACTACCGTTATAAGTTCCACATTGATGTAGAACAACTACTCTTAAAATAGGCCACCATTCGTGGAAATGCTTTACCCACTGCTCCATTAGAGTAGCTGGACAAACAACTACAGTTGGTCCTAAACCTCTAAACCTGTGGTTAGAGTAATAATTAACTGAACAAATAGTAAATAACTAATTGTGAATAATTAATTGTGAATAACTAATAACCAATAGAAAAATATTTACCTTCCACCATCGGATAGTAATTCACTACAGTCTAAACCTGCAAGAAATGCAATTACTTGGACAGTTTTCCCCAATCCCATTTCATCACCTAGTAGTCCACCTAAACCACGAAGATGCAATTC